AAATCTACTCTCCCTAGGATTTGCCCCTAAAGGAAGCCCTAAATATGACATAGGCCAAGCAGAGGTGGAACACTCAAGACACTCTGCAATAGCCTTAACCTCCCCTACCTCCAAATTTATACCTGCTATGCAGCTCTTTTCCAAATTTTTTCTCAAATTAGAAATACTTTCAAATCCTTTGATTAGTTCCTTTAGGTTTGCTACCTTTTCGCTAAAACCTCCTTCACAAAAGATCATWAGGTCATCTGCAAACTGAAGGTGGGTGACGGGGACTTGGTGTCTCCCTATTCTCCAACCCCTAATGGCATCTTCACTATCAGCCTTAGTAATGATCCTACTAATCACATCAGCTACTAAGGTAAAAAGGAAGGGTGAGAGTGGATCCCCTTGCCTGACACCCCTGCAAGCTGGAAAAAAGTCCCTCACTATACCATTTACCAGAATAGAGTAGTGACAAGTACTGATACACCCAAAAATCTAACTACACCACTTGTCCCCAAATCCACAGTTTCACATAGCCTCTAATAGAAACTCCCAGTCCACCATATCATAGGCCTTTTCAAGATCCAATTTACAAATGAAACCTCTCTTCCTAGACCTTTTCATTTCCTCCACACGCTCATTCGCAATTAAGATCTGATCTGTTATTTGTCGCCCTTGAATGAAAGCCCCCTGGGTTTCACTAGTGATAGAAGAGAGGACTGTTTTGATCCTCAACGAGAGCACTTTAGCCAGAATTTTATAGATGCTTGTCACCAGACTAATAGGCCTATAATCTTTTRGGTGGTTGGYATCATTCTTCTTAGGTATCAAGGCCAAAAATGTGGCATTAATTCCAGGGCTTATAATGTGTATTTGCAAATTCCTTAAAGACTTCAACTAAATCCTCTTTCAACACCTCCCAACAATCTTGATAAAAACCCATTGTAAAGCCATCTGAACCTGGAGCCTTGGATCTATCCATTAGAAAGACAGCTTTCTTTAATCTCTTCTTCCTCGAAATCCCCTTCCAGCCACCTTTCCACGATTGCTCTCTCACTTAAAGGTCTTCTATAAATCAATTTGAAGTGGTCCACAAATTTTCTAGCTATGTCATCCTGGTTGGTAATCACCTCCTCTCCTATCTCTAGCTTGGTCACAAGATTCTTTCTTCGTYTCCCATTTGCCAAATCATGGAAAAATCTAGTGTTCCCATCGCCTTTCTTAATCCACTTGTGTCTAGATTTTTGTCTCTAACTGATTTCTTCCTTCAGTAACACCTCTTCCAAATCCTTTTTCAATTGTCTCCTTAACACTCTGTCCTCCTCGGTCAACACATTTTGAGATTCCTTTACATCCAAGTTTTCTATTCGAGAGATTAAGCACAATTTTTGCTCCTCAATTCTACCAAAATAATCTCTATTCCACTCTTTTATTTTGGCTCTCAACCTTTTTAATTTCTTATGAAACTTGATCCCCATCCATCTTCCCCCCCTTTCTTCCTCACCCCACCATTCCTTCACTTTTTTCACAAAATTTGGATAGGTAAGCCACATATTTTCGAATCTAAAAGGTTTGGGTCCTGTAGGAAAAAATCGAGTACCTATCTGGATAGGACAGTGATCGGAGGTGACCCTGGGTAACGCTCTAGCAATCAAGTTTTCCAAACTATTCTCCTAGGCAAGGTTAAATAAGAACCTGTCCAACTTCGAACACAAAGGAGTTTTCCTAAAGGTTGGACCAAGTGTAACTGGCTTGCAACAGAATTATTTCCTTCAATAAAACCATTAAATTTTCTCATGCCTATTGTAATTACCTGTTGGGGATTACTGGTTTCATCAGAGAATCTAATGACATTAAAATCCCCATCCTGACACCAAGGGCCATCCCATAGCTCCTTGATTGCATATAGTTCCTCCCACATCTCATTCCTCTCTCTATAGGAATTAGGGCCATAAACATTGGTTAAGATCCATACACCCATCCTCTACATTCTTACACTTAATGGAARCTGAGAATCTGCCTATCAATTCTTCCACTACTTCCACCACATCCTCCCTCCACAATGTTACAATCCCCCCCGAGGCTCCCCAAGAAGGAGACGAGCTCCAACCTACACCTCTAGACCTCTAAAAACTCCTCACCCATCTCCCATCTAATTCCATCATTTTGGATTCTTGTAACAGCACAATATCGGGTTTTTCCCTTCAGAGTAGGTCTTTGATCACCCTTCTCTTTCTTGCACTCCCTAACCCTCTTACATTCCAGCTAATAATTTTCATCGAGACAAAATAGCAAAAAATCCATGAAAAGGTCATAATCTCCTCATTTTAGGCCTTCCTTCTATCCCCTCTACCACTAAATTCTAAATCTCCCTCAATGTCTGAGATTAGCCTTTCCACTTCAGATATTTTTTTCTTCTTTGTTCCTTCCCCCCCTCCCCTTCCTAATACAACAATCATCCTCTTTCTTTTCTCCATCCTTTCCAACCAATGTCTGAGGAAGATTTTTACCCTGCTCACACTTATTTTGGCTACAATATCTCTCTAAGAATCCTTCATTTTTTTAGTTCCTCCATCATTGTACAGATCAACTCCCAAATTCTGTCTGCCTCCCCCTTACTACTTCCTTCCATCACCCTCTCTCTTGCATCAGAACCTCCTGGATGGGAAGCTGGAATATCTGTTACAGGCATAGCAGACAAGTCAATACC